ACAACAGCAACAACAGCAACAATATCAACTTTTGATACCGCTGATAAATATTAATGCCAAGCAAAGTGTTCACTGAGCCGCACTGCGGCCAAAGGACTTTGTCGAACTGTCCAAGTCCGGTCTGCCATGGGCGAGTCCTTGCGCCCCTGGGCGTAGGCATGGGGCATGGCACTGCCTGCACAATTCAGGCGGCATTAATATTCATTTCCATAGCTACAATAACACAGGGCGAGAGCGCGTCAGGCCACAGGAGGCGACAGCCATAAAGACAACAAAAAGGAAAACAGGAACCAGAAGCTGGATGCAGCAACAGCTATAGGAGAGAGGAGCACCGACACCATATACACACTCATTGTCAGCCACTGTTGTCTGTCTCTCGCTGAGTGTGTGTGTGTGTGTGTGTGAGTGTGTGTCAAAGGAATTGTTGAGCCAGGAGAAGCCATTGTAAGCGAGCGCCAGCCACTGCTCTTTGACATTCATTTAATTGACTCGCTCGCCAGTCGCCAGCTGCGCGCTGCGAGCAGCCGTTCTTGATTTTGCATTTCAAATCAAGCAAAACGAAACAACAATCAAATTCACTTTACACATTTCGTGTATTAATTAAATTTTCAAATGTAATTTAAAGTCCAATGCAACAGGCAATTGAAAATTGTATTGAAATTGTGTGTCCATATGCTGCAACGTCTGCAGACGATGCTCTATCTCTCTCCCTCTTGTCTCTCTCTCTCTCTCTCTTTCGCTTTCTCTGTCTGCCTTTAAAGGCATTTTCATTTTATTATTATTATCGCTTTGGCATAATTCCCAAATGCGGCATCGAAGTCAAAGCGAAGTCAAAATGAGCCAAGGCGAGCAGCAGCCTGGCTGAGGCATGAGGCCTCAGAATGCGGCTCAACCTTTACTTGGGGCCAGAAGAGGGCATTGCGGAGGGCGAGCTGAATGGGTGGCAAGTTGGCTGCCAACTTGTGGCAGTTAAGACAACGGTGTGAAAAATGAAATTATAAGCAAAACGACATGCTGGCAGCAATATGACGAAACACCGAAAAAAATATATATAAGAGAAGATTTAATAAATTAAAAAATATATATTTGTGGAAATCATATTTATTAAAAAAGATTTAATGCTTAAAAAAAATTAAAAACCACGGGGGGGGCAAAAAAAAAATGTATATATTTATAAAAAGAAATAGTTGAAATATATTTGAATATATTTATGTGTCCAAGCTTCAACTCCAACTTTCCATAACAAAAATATTTTTCAAACATAAATCAAAATATTTGTAAATATATAATGTTTAAGAGCCCAGGATTTAAAGTCGAATATAAATATATTTACATTTATCATTGACAGCAGAAGCTCTCTAAATTCTAGCCGTGTATTGCCATGGCCGCCTGCCTGGCCAAGTTAGTATGTATGGCATCATCTTTGTCTAGAGCGTCGAACGCATGACAGACGACAATACATCTTAGGCGCATTTTAATTTCATGCTCAGCTTGGCGCGGCTGTGTGCGGCTGCTTCCCCCATCGGCCACGCCCTCGCCGGCTGTGTAGGGCGCCGAGCTCCTTTTGATTGTTGCTGCGTAATGACATTTAATGTCCAAGGCCCATATAATTGACTCGGGGGCCGAGCTGTGAGGCATTCGCAGTTAGTGCGCAATTCATGCGCGACTGCACAGCAGTTAAATTGTGTCGTCTTCGGCTCTTGCATTTGTATCTTCAGTCACAGTATATATTTGTGTGTGTGTGTGTGGCTGTTGCTTGGCCATTTATTTTGTATTTGGAGCGGTTTGGCCCTAATTTATGGACCAAAGTGCAGCGCAACTGAGGCTTGTGGCCAAGTTTAATTGGGCGACCACATTATGGGCACGTGCAGACGGCATATGCCACAAGCTAACAAAACTCTGATTTACCTTAATACCTGACCCTAACGGATTTTATGTTGCATGACTTTCAGCTATGGCGGATGATTTAGGCCCTTAACACTGGCCATTTAATGGCTAATAATGGCCGAAAGCAGGCGAACGAAAAGCTTTTGCAATGTGCAAATAAATGAAATAATGAATGAAATAAATTTCAAGCAAAAGCAGACCAACAATGTCAATACAAGGCCATAAACTGTTTGAAACAGATGTGTTCAGGGAGTGTTTGAATAATGGCTTTAAGAAAAAATGTTGAAGATGCAGACATTAATTGCTATTCTTATATAAATTTAGATAAGCCTTAACAAGAAATCGAAAGATATATGAAAATAAAAACAATTGGAATAGACTTTTTCACTTTGTTTTATTAAACTGTGCATATTAAGAATACGCCACGTGAAATTTCATCCAATTAAATCTTTGCAATTACCTCTCTGATTGGCAAGCGACGTTAATTGATTGACGAATGCTGCGGGCCAAAAACTTTAAATTTAATTAACACTGGCAAAGCTTATAGCTAATATCGTTTAGTTATACTCTGAAGACTCATGCAGAGCAGAAAGCCAAAGTAGACAACCGCCAAAAACACGCAGCTCTGGCTAAACAAGCTCTTGGCACTTGCCACTCAACGTGGCCAAGGAGTAGTTGACTATGGCTAGAGTTGGAGCACCTTAAAGCAAATGCAACGTAATTCAAAGCGGCTGCCAGGAACATGCGTATTCGAGCGCGTTGCAGCTAGACAATGAAATGGCCGCAGGCCAACAACAACGGCAACAGCAGCAGCAGCAAGAGCAACAACAACAATGCAGCACCTTTGGCTGACTGCTAAGCAACAAGCGTGAAAGGAGCTAAGCACTGCAGCTAAGATAATGCATTTGATCTAAAAGCGAGGGTACTCGGAGTAGGGGCTGAGCAGCGCCCAGGAAATTAATTACGAGTCACGTGGCAGACAATGCCAGCAGCTACTCCTGCTGCTGCTGCTGCTGCTGCTGCTGCTGTTCATCTTCTTCAGCTCTGGCATTGGCTTGTTTTCTTTCCTTTTTAACGCAAATATTAATTTTCACACCTTCTGACATATGGATAACAAAGCACGATTGTTGTAGCTGTCAGCGCTCAGCGCACTTGCACTTGCACTCGCCACTCCACTCCTGCTACGGCTTTGTAATCAAATCAGGTTGCATTTAAATGCATGCTTGGGCTCAGCTCGGCTCCTCTTGCGCCAGCCTGGTCAGCGGCAGTCCTTGTCATTAAATTTGATTTGAACTTGAACTAAGCATTCATAGCGTTAATACCGCGCATAAATGGCTGAAGACTAGCATGCCGGAGCCTTACGAGGGAGACTTGAAATAGCTGAGAAAATTGAATATTGAATAGTCCATTTATATATCTCTAATTTTGCTTTTGCAATAAAGGTATGAGCTTAATTATTTTCTAAAATTAAAGAAAATAAAACTAAATTAATTCATGCTGCAAAAATAATTTTTTATTTCTAACAAAAAGTTAAGTCTAATAATAAAAACTAATTTGTTTGATCCAAAAATATATATTTGTATAATACAAAAAGAAAGAACCTTTTCATAGAATCTGTTTAATAAATAAAATGAATAATAATTGATGTGTTTAATAATAATAATGATTGATTAATTTATATAAATAATAAATGTATATTCAGATAATTAAAGTAATTAATGATATATATGTATATGATTTTTTAGTATTTCCTAAGTTATTAAATATATATCTAAATATTTTGTTTTTATATAATTTTTGTGTTTACAGCTATTTTCGCTATTTTTCCATTTAGACACTATATAAATATTTTTACATTTTTACTGGGTACCATGTGGTCGGTCACTCCCAATCGCATCACTCATATTAGTTGTGTATCGTCTGTTGCTCTTGCTACGTGCGCATTGCAAAATAATCGCAAATGTCGTGCCGTCCCCATCCCCCGTCGGCCGTCCTACATTCATGTTCCAGCTGACTGGGAACGACTCCAAGTTGAGCTCGGGCTGGGCATAATCTCGCACGTAATTTGTGTGTATGCGACAGAAATGTCCGTTGCACCTGGCGGCTGGCCTGGGTCTGACCCTCCGCACACGGCACGCCCCATTCGACCGCCCTATTTTGTCTGTTGCAAAACTATTGTCTGGCCAAGTTGTTGACAGGCACGTTGACGTCATTGTTTCGTAATTTGTATCCTTAGCTGCGCATTAGAGCATAGTTATACACTGCCGAAGTTGCCAAGGGCTTAGCCCAGCACCCGAACACCTCAGCCACCCAGCCCCCCAGCTCATAGTTGCTATTTTCTCTGCATGTTTGTTTTCTGTTCTTTTTTTTTTCAGAGCTTCAGTTTGTCATTTTTGTTGTCAGCTCTGCATTTGTGTGTTTGGAGAGCTGTTAAAGCATTCCTAATGTGCATGACATGGCATTTCAGGCGAGGCGCTGCCCGACTTGAAAATAAGTCTTTGTTAAACGTTGCGTATGCGTAATGTTATAACTCTAAGCTAAGCTGCTCGAGTGGCGTTCGGATTGCATTTACTGCCTTTAATTACACCGCCGGCTAGATCTGCCGCCCTTTTTAATTAAATTTCCTTTACACATTATGCCTAATTCATTAAACTGACGCTCGTCCCATTAGGGCCTTCACCTTCAACCCTTTCCTGCCCAAGTAAACAAATCTGCGCACTTCATTTGCCCCAAGCTGGCCAAGTGCCTCAACTTACAGCGCATTTCCTGACCCTACAATAACAACTACAAATTTGAAAAAAGGTAGAAAACAAAAACAAAAGGATAAGAGTTTTTAAGTATTGCAGAAGTTGAAATTTAAATACTCTGTAAAATCCATGGGTTTGTTTTAATATTTTAAATAGACTTTTGAAATACCTATTAAACTTGATTCAATTTTAAATATTATTTTAAATATCCATTATTATTCGAAGCTTTGAAACTCATACTAACATTTTTATTTACTTAGCCTTATAATAATTGTTTAAAATGATTTGGAACCTAATATTTGCTTTAGTCTATTATAAATTCCATGACAAACTTCCACGACTCGTGGCTAGAGTATAAAAAATATATACAGAAAGAAAAGCAAGCGCCCAATTTGAGGGAAGACAAAACTCAATCGACAGCTTTGGCAGCTGATAAAAATGTTGAGGACTCGCAAACGACTGAGGAACAGAGCTCTAGGACGAGTGGGCTTTTGGGGTTTGTCTTTCAAGATGTCGCTGCAATAAAATTAATGCAAAAAGTTTACCTTTACCTGCGCTCAGTTGCTGTCAACGAAAAAGCGAGAGGAAAATACTTTCGGAATTCGTAATGAGTGGCAACTTTTTTGCTTTGTTTGGCTGGCGTTAAAAATTTGAATTGAGTTGAAGGTTGAATGAGGCGCAAAGTTTTCAAATAAAAATTAAAAATTGTCAAGGCGTTAAATTAGGGTCACAGGTAAAAGGGATAGACGGAGAGTGAGAAAGGGAGAGAGACAGAGAGAAGAGGCCGCTGAAGTTGGCCGAACTTCAGTCAAATTGAAATCAAATGGGTTTGACAGAAGCTAAAAAGGGTCAACGGGCCTGCAATTGACAGTCGCCTCGACCCACCTGCCCGCCTGCCTGCTTAAGTTTGTCAATATTTGCGAGATTACCGAGTATAGCTCAACTGAAGCGTAAACAATGTGAGCTTTAAACTTATGGCGGAGCTGGAGCTGCATGCCGCAAAAGCCTTGGCTCGGCCGACATGCAAACTTTTTCAGTTAACCAGAAGGCGTACGAGCACACTCCACTCCCACTCCACCATGCGCCACATGATTCATAATCTCTACACTAATCTTTTAATCCAGTCGAGTGAATTTTGTACTCGATTGTGAAACAAAGTTGCCAAAGGAACAGGAGCAGGAGCAGCAGCAGGCGGCGGCACAAAGAGTTAACTTTCAGCAGCCACAGCAACAGCGACAGCGAATATAAACATGCACGAGCATGCCGTGCTCCGATATACCCTATATATAGTAGAGGAGCTGGCTCGCTTTCCCTGTCCGCCCTTTGCCATTACATTAAGCGCACAACTTTGATGTCATCTTTGTGCCCAGGCCTTCGATAAAGTTTGTTGCTCCCGCTCCTGCTCCCGCTCCCGCTCCAGCTCGAGCTCCTGTTGTTCCCAGCTGAAACTTTTTTAATAGTAATGGACTTCACCAAAAACATTTTTTCTTTCCTCTTTACAGCAGCTGCTGCTGTTGTTGTTGTCCTTTTCAGTTGGTGGCCCAAATGTTTTACAGTTTAAGCGCATTGGACTCATGCTTGGAGCTGTTGTGGCCAGGTGAATCAGCCTGTGGAAGCTGTGCATCAAAAAGTTATTTCCGCTACAAATGAACCCACACATGACGCGTTTTTTCGTCTCTTTTTGTCGATTGTTGTTGTTGTTGTTGTTGTTTGAGTCCAGCTGCTGGCTTTAGGATTTCAGTCACTCCATCGATATGGGCAGCGTGTACCTGGCACTTAGTGACGGCCTGGACAGTCAGATGGACTGCCAGACGGGATGGCTGACTGGACACTGGACCGGCGCTGGCCAGTGGCCAGTGGCATAAGCGGCTTAGCTTTTAAACAACTTTCAGCATATGAATGGCAGGCACTGTAACATTACTGCATTCACTCTTCTGCCCTTTTTATGCGCTCCGTATAAAAATCCTATTGAATACAACATGTCTCTGCTTGGGCTGTCTTTATTTATAGAGCATTACTGCTGTCAGACGAAAACATTAATTGCATTTCAAACATTTGTGCTGCAAGATTCATTAATGAAATTCCTTAAATGAAGCAAATGATCTACACATCGATATCGTTCTCTGTTCTCCTGCCCACCTCAGCTCACCTGTGCACCATTTGTGATGTGGGCGTTTGTGACAGCAACACTCAAAAGCCAAATGCGTTGAAGAGCAGGCTTAGCACTCAGCGGCAGACAGCTCTCGACAGGGCGAATCATCTCTGCGAGCGCCACTACATAGGCCTAAAAGGTGAGTGTCAAACTGTGCGTGTGTGTGTGTGTCATGTCACTTTTGTGCGTTGAGGATTAGCAATAGCGCAAATACAAAGCTGGCATAAGTTGCGTTTTGTCACGGTTCGAAGTCGACTCGGCCAATTTTCGGTAGTTGGCAACAAATTTGAAAAGCTGTCGCAGCAGATTTTGAGAATGACCCAACGAAATGGAAATGCGTATGAAAAGCGTATTATATTTCAATAAAGGTATAAAAAAATGGAAGAAACCCCAAGCACTGCCATGCAAATCTTTGCCTAACAATTTTAACACTTGAGCGCATTTGATCCAATACAGCGGACAGCAGATGAAGAGAAAGCGAGGAGGAGAGGGAGGTGGAAAAGGGATAGATCCTTGAGGCGAACATGAAATATGCCGCAATGTTTTGGCCACTGGAATGTTGGTTAATGCCCGCCATTGGGCCGGACCGCAACAATTTCCCTTTTTCGAGCCCGTTTCGTTTCGTTTCGTTCCGTTTCGCTGCATACCTTGAGGCGCCATAAAAGTGTACACGACCCGGCCCCAAAGCAAATAAATAAGAAAAGCCGTTCGCTACATTTCAGCAAATAATCTCATAAAGCATTTTATGCTGCCGCTGCCCAGCTCCTGGATCGCATGTGATGTGTGGTCAGGCCTGCCACGATGGTGGTCGATGGGCGATGGGCGACGGGCGACGGGCGACGGGCGGCGCAATTTTCTATTGTTTGCTAAGCGTTTCGGTTCGCTTGGAGCAACGGGACAAGCGGATCTTAAGTTGCTCGCTTTCTCTCTCTCTCTCTCTCTCTCTCTCGCCCTCTCTCTCTGTCTCTCACATTGTTGATGGGCGTTAAGTGCGGCCTCGGAGCCTTTGAAGTGGACACGTGCTGTCATAAATTTTCACAGTGCTGTGAGCACACAACTTTCGAATGGTTTTTTGAGATGAAACAATTTACACTTAGCATGGCTATCGAATGATATTTATCGACACAGAAGCTGGCAATTGCCTGAGCAATGGTACATTAATTTCAATAGTAGATAACGGAAGGAGAAGGGACACAAGATGTATTTTTTATACCCTGAACCCATTGAAAATGGGAAATCAGGGTATAATGGTTT